AGACATCGGTTCCATAATGCATGTTACATGCCTGAACCCCATCCAAGACGCAGTCTCGTGGACTGATAAGCCGTTCAGTTACTATGTTCATACGATTGATCATTCCCTCGTAAGTTTCCTTTGGCTGCGTCCATTTTTTTGTGTATACTGGTTTTACAGAGCCCTTTCTGAACGAACTGAGTTGAACGTCTTTGCTTCTAAAATTGAGCCGCACTTTTCCTCTTCTACGATCTTCAGACGTTGCAGTTGGATTTTTTCTTTTGCTCCTTGAATGCGTTCTATCCAGAGTTAATAACGTGTCCCGCCGGACGATGACCGAGTAGAAATTGCCAATGTACTGATTAGTTTTGCATGGTTGAGGCACTTAAGTGCATGCGGCGATGAGCAACAGAACCCCTATTATTGTAGTAGATCTAGTCTACAGTGCTTTAGTACAGCCGCAAGCAGACTTGTCATATACGCCTAGCAATGCATACTTATCTTTTGCTTTGGGTCATAGGCAACTCACATTTGTGTCCAGCTTACCTTATAACGGCGACTTGGCATTCGTGAACGGCCGCGCTAGTCACCCCCGATCTTCTTGACTCTGATATTGCATTGACCCCAGGTAGGGGCGGAGGAGAAAGTGATAGGTGCTGCGTAGGTCTACTATAATCTAATGCAGGCACAAATCACTGTCCCTGTACTCACCCTGGTGCAAAGCACGGTGCACCTAATCGAAATCGACCGTCGAGTCGCCAGTGATTGTATTTATAGTAATTGTAATGAAAATGCGATTCCCTTGGAGCAAGTTAGAGGAAGAAATAGCGTTCGCTGGGAGATGTTTATTGTATTTTGTATTGTATTTGTCCTTGTGAACTCGTGTGTGGTCCACTGCTTATTCCTTATCTGCCCTCCAACCTTCATGCACTTTTTAGTTGGAACAATACTTCTCGAGGCTTAAAAATCCGAAATTAAAGGTGAGCAAGAGTCGTTGATACATTGTTTACATTCATGCCAATTGTGTGATCTTACGCTCGTTATTTGAGTGAAATTGTAAGCACTGTCGACTCTCCTTTCTTTGTGTTATTTTCTGTGACTGTTTAGCCTACCTTGCTACATTCAATATCCTAGCGATAACTCATCCCTTGGCGGTAGAAATCATCGAGTAGACATTTGAGGTCACTTCTGTGGTATCTGTTCATTTATTTGGTTCGTTATGTAAATGTTTTGTTTTTTATAATCTACCTACTATAAGGAGATTTTAAAAACTAGTTGGCAGGACGGTATTCAGACAGACCACTGGCTTTCCCATTCAGAGAGCAGATACATTATACGGCGTGCTTTTTCGTCAAGCTCAGTACATATTGCAGGTTAGCTATTATAAAAGTCTAAGAACAGCCGAATGCTACCTTGCCGCTGCCTCGCGAGGTGGCCCAGATTTAAGTGTGTGTTTGCTTCCATTTTCTTGAAAGCCTGCCTGAGGTTGCATGTTAACTTTGGAAAAATTTTCTGCCCATCTAGAATGGCGATGTCTCTGGTCGACGTGAACGCAAGAATAAGCAAGCCCAGGTAGGTTCTCGTTATTTCCCACTTACTTCGTCAGACCCCAGAAGTTATAAGCGCGGTAAAATGTGCTTTTCGAGCACCAGGTTGCACGTAAAATTGTTTTCTGATTAAGACGCCTACAGCTCATCTTTCTATATGTATGTTTCCATTTTAGTCGGGGAATTCTTCATCTGGAAGTGGCAGTAGTAGTGGGGGGAATAAATCCGGCACAGTCCCTTCAGACAGTGCTAGCAGCAGCCTACGTAGGAAGTGTTTCATTAAACGCATGAAACGAAGTCGCAACCTAAAACGACTGGCTTGTGGACGATCAACCAGTCGCTC